TATATATATATATATATATCATGCTTCCAGCGAACGTGGTCATTAAACGCGGGTCATTTCATCTCCGCTTTATCTCTTTTTGTCTGATTGTTACGTAATTTTATTTCATCTTTGTCTCGTGATTTCAGTCAAGACGGTTGGTATAGCGAAGATTACGATTATCATGGAACAAGAGTCGACGAAACCAAAATCTATAGCGATACCGAATATTATCCGAGTAGTACAACGAGTGCTTCCAGAAGGAGAGGTAAGATGTCGCTACTGTAGTTTGTTACTTTTTGGCCAACAATGTTACTGTTTCCGGTTCATGAAGATTTAATACGTACATTTGATACATGTATATATATAAAGTGTATAAGTTCCTTGAATAATAGTAAAAGAGATCGTAACTCGGTTTATTTCCGCACGTGAACACACAGGACATCACAGAAGACCATCTTTGGAAAGACAAATGACTTTATACGACGACCATTCTTACTATACCGATGGATATAGTAGTGATGGAAGAGTGGGGAAAATGAGCGCCACGTATCCTGAATGCCAAACGGACATTAGGTACAATGAGTACTACGATAGCATCACGGGATACGGTTATCAAGATGAAAGGTGAGTATTATGTATATTGTTAGGCTATTCGTTTCAATCTTTATTATTCGCGATAAAAAGAAGTATTAGATATATGAGAAAAACGAATAATAGACCGATTTTTCTTTTTCAAATTTAAAAAATGTAAAATTAGATAGTATATGATATATATATATATATCAATTTGTTTATTTGAACAGGTATGGCCAAGACGACGAGGATAGACAATGGGACAGTGGAGGGAAGTGGTATCTAGGAACTAGTACCTATTATGAGAATAAACGGAATAGAAAAACGCTTCCACAGAGGCCTGCATCTAGTATCGGTATTCATCGACCCGATTACAGACCAACGGTTACCAGACAACGCAGTTACGAATCGGAGGAACTGAATTATAGGTATTAATCGATTATCTTCATTTCCAATTATATTATCGATAAAATTGCTAAAATAATTATTTAATTTATGTATCCTTGAATCGATTACAGTGGTTATAGCGCTCGTCGTCGAAAACCGCTTCAACCACAACAACGACCACCGTCCAGGCAAGAAGGGACGGGTAAAAAACTACCTCCGACACCAACAAAACCAAGCAATGTTATTATCAATCGTATGCTTGCCACATCGAGCAGGCAACTGCCAAAGACTAGAACTCCTTCCGAGGAGAGCTATCACAAGTCTGACTACAACGAGGACTATAATTACGCTTATCGCAGCCAAGATAATTTACCTCAGGATACCTACATTGACAGTATATATAGCGAGAAAAGTGGTTACGACCAAGTGCACGCACCTGGCAAAACTCAATACGCTGAGGATAGTCAATACGGGTCCAGTTACACGCCCCAGGTCGATGACCAGTATGATCGTTCGTATCAAGAGCCACAGACACAGGATACGTACGATCAATCGTATTTACAAAACTCGTATAAGGACGAGTTTCAAAAGCCTTACGTGGAACAGAACACTCAGGTTTATCAGGATACGTATCAAGATATAACATATCCGAACGCGAGCCAACCGAATGATCAATACACTAGCCAACCGAACGATCAATACAGGAAAATGAGCAGGGATATGATAATAGACGACAATTACCAGGTGGTGGGTGGTTACGATCAGAACAACGTTCAATATCAGGACAGGAAGAAAGTATCTACCTATAAGAATACGTATCAAGAGCAATACGATGGTTACAACGTGCCGTCGAGCGTATACGACCAAAATAACGTGACAAATACGTACAATCAATACCAACAAGAGCAATACGATTCTCAGTACAATATAAACACGTCGACTGATTACCAGAAGACATATCCGGATACCTATAATCAAGAAACGTACAACACAAAAGCCTATAGCCAAGAAACTTACAATCAGGACACGTATATTCAGGATACGTATAATCAAGAAACGTACCATCAGCAAGAAGAAACCTACAACCAGCAAGATACGTACAATCAGGTAGTGCCCATTTCGCAAAGTAATTACGAGGATACTTATAGCAAATCCCAGAAGGATTACGTTAATTATCAAACACCGTATAGCAAAGAGGAGACTGTTAACATGACGTACGAGAATGATTATCAAGATCACTATCAAGAGCCTTACGAAGATTCTTATCACGAATCTTATCAGGAATCGTTCGAGGAACACTACAAAGAGAGTCCAGCTGCCAGTACTGAGAGAAGAGCAAGCGAAGTTCCGGAATTATCGGTGACCACGCCAAGAGGTCAGACGAGAACGAATGGATATCAATCGAGCGAATCGGACTATTATCTAATGTCTCAGGAAAGTCAAGACGTGTCCTCGAGAAAGAAGAAGCACGAGAAACGTGAACCTAGCCCTCTCGTCCAGCAAAATACCGATTCCTTGGAATCCAAAGACGACGAATTGAAGGAAATCGAAACTGCCGTGAGTTCTATTAGTAGCATTCCACAGAAGAAAGGAATCAGCGATTATTCGACACCTGCTGATTCCAGTTCCGTTGCCCCTACTTTGATCGAATCTCCCCAAAGCAGCCTTCAACCCGCTACAACGATGGTTAATCACGTAACAGCCAATCATATTCCAACGAGTATGACGGTGACGGCAATGGTTCACACAACGGGTAATGGAAAACGATTGACGAGAACTGAGTCGTATCAGGAGGAAGTGATCGAGGACGAAGAATATCCGGAAATCATACCAAAAGAACCGCAGAGAAAAGACTCGCAGTTATCGTATCAGAGTCAACATTCTTCCCAGCACAGCGTGCATTCTCAAAAACCAAAATTGACCAGAGGTGATTCTTACGCCTCCGACCACTTCCCCGAGGAATCGTACAGCAGAAGAAGTTCGTACGCGCAGTCGACGAGAAAAGACTCTTTCTCTTCAACTACACAAGAAAACTTTAAACCACCTCTCACCAGAACAGACTCGTACCAAAACAGAGGTAGCTACGGGCAGAACTTCAGTGCTCCTCAACCTATTTCCAGAGCTGAGAGTTATCAGCGTGGATACTTCAATGACCAAAAGTCTGTGGAGGAACCGGAAGTTAGCTTGAGCAATGCGGTGAACGACGACTACAAGATGAGGGAGGAGTCTCTTGAAAGGTAATTATATTGATATAATTTTATTCGAAAAAATTATATATCTACGCGTATTAATTGTTCGTTATTGAAGGTACGACGATGAACCAATGCTTCGTGATTCTCGGGAGGATTCGTTGATGGACACGTACAAAGCTACACCGCCGATGTCGCATACCGATAGTCCACGTGGTAAGATTATTTTTTTTCTTTTCATCCAATGTGCATAATTACAATCTTCTTTACTCAAATTAATGGTGTATATTAATATTTTTACTTGTCGGCTTACAGGAAGCATAACGAAACAAGCGTCTTTAGAAGAAAGTGTTCAAATGGATACTCCACCGAGAAGTCCACCAGAACCACCACCGGATAAGGAGCTTCTAGAGATGGTTGGAGCTGCACCAGTGCCTACACAGTTGAAAGAAAGACCAGAGATGACGGCAAAGCAACGATGGCATTGGGCGTATAACCAAATAGTGATGCAACTACGGGTGAGTAATTACAAATTAAATCATATTTTCATTTAATAGTAAGTACTTTAAAAATAATTTTAAAGTTCAATTAATATTTAAAAAAGATACGAACAATTCGAAAAGTTCAATGAACGTATTTCGAAACGATAAAGTTGCTACAGAAATAGACACAGAGATCTCGAATGAAAATGAAATGAAAATGACTTTCCATTTCATCGAGGCAATCGACCTTAATGGCGACCTTCCGTAAAATCATGCTGGTGACCCGCATTTTTCCACTAGACCTTCACTGTTACAACGACGGCCTTGTCGATCATTAGTTTCACGATTGAATTAATTTGTCACGTATTATCGACCCTCTCGAGATTCCATCCACGAGTTCCGTACTTTATCACCTGTGTAACTCACGTCGTGTCCCATTGGAAGATTGCCACGAGTCCGTTGATCCTTGTCGACATAAGTTCACGATATAAAATAGATTCGTTAATCGTAGTTATGAATATATAATGAATTTGAAATCACAATATGTGATTTACAATGAGAAATTTTTGATAGACTTTTTTTAGAATTGAAATATGCAAACAATTTTAGAAAATCTAATTATTTAAAAAAGAGATGACAAACATATTAAAAAATGTTGTTTAATTACCAGTAATTTTAACGAATTGAAAATTCATACAAAACCGATAATTGAACCAATAATAATATAAATTTAAATCTCGAATACATTCATTATATCAAACTCGTGTAACAAAAAAGAAAAAAAAAAAACTTCGTCATCCGCGAACACAGATAATCAGAGAAAATTACGCACGTCCTAGAAAGCACAGGGACGCATAAATTACGAATAACACGTGATATCGCAGTGGATATAGTTATCTATGCCAGTTGTAAACGAACAATGAATGTTCATTAACGTTTTATCGAAAACCTTCGGGAAGAAATACGAGATTAAGTCGACGCAAATACTCACACACATAGAGAGGAGCGTAATGATCATCCTGAATAGAAGAAAAAATTTCCAGTAGACAATTCGATACGATTATTTAACGAGTCTTTAGAAAAAAAAAAGAGAAGAAAAGAAAAAAAACAAAAAGGAACGAGAAAACGAAGAAGAAGAAAATGAAAGAAAGAAATAAGTGTTTTGTAAATCAAATCCCATTGCGTGGAAAGGAGTGTAGGGTGCGTTTTATCGGCCTTCTTGTCACCTTGAAAATATCCGTTGCTCTTTGGAAGCAGCGGATTAACCAACTCTAACACGAAACTTCCATTAACGCAGCCTTGTCGCCCAATCGTGTCACTCTAAGTACGCACCTGACGCGCTCCTGGAAACCTTTCCAGTCCAGATATACGAGGAGTAGCTGGCCTCCACGATGGAAAATGTAAATTCGTCCTGGTGACACGCGAATCGAAGTTGGGGACTTGAGTAGTTTTTGCTCGTTTCTCGAATTCGTTTCAGACATTTTCGCCAGGATTTGTCTATGATCAAATTGCAGCTGAACGTAATTTAAATTCTGTAGGATTCTCTTATCGTGTTATCTTTGGATCTTGTGCTTGTAGATTTGATAAATTTGATTGTCGTGATTTTTTTGAAGGGAAAGGGAAGGGTGAGATGAGAGATAATATTTCTTTATTAAAGAAAATCGTTGGATAATTAATTGTTAGTGTTCGTTAAACTTTTAATTTTGTATATAATGTTTCAATCGAACGAAAGAGTTACTTTGTTTTTATATTTCAAAATAATTTCGAAGAGTTTAATTAAAAAATAAATATATCAGCATGTAATCATTAAGATTTCATCGTCGGAAAAAATAAACTCGATAAATTTAACCGCGATAATGATTCAATTTAATAATTTCTTACGTTGTAGTTTTTCTCCAAATAATAATTTCACTAAATATTCTTTAAAGTCTCGTCGTTTGCATCGAGTTAAGAGATTTCTCGAGCCGGAATTTTCTGGATTTTCGCATAGAAGATGATGCATGGCCCCTTTCTCTTCTCTCTTTATTTCTTCTTTAAGAGAGGAACTAGGATGCCATTTATCCTGAAAGCTTTAACTTGAACAGAGTTTCTTGTTGAGCTGTGAGCGTTGATTCGAGCGATTTACAAGAGCTTACAAACGTCAGTGACCATTATCTTTGAATCGTTGAAGTGCTTTTTGCATGTAATGCAAATATCTTTTTATACTCGATCATTTCCATTTTGACGAATTCGACTGGCATACAGTAATACAGATCTCTTACACGTTAGATAATCAATAAGTTTGGTTTTTATGATCGATGGTTTTGAAAAAGTTTTATTTATAATATTTATTTTTTCTCTTTTTGTATTAATATTTAACTGAATATTTATATATAGATATAAACTTTTTCAATTTGAAAAATTAATTCAAACTAAATTTTTTACATAATACAATAAAGTATCAATAAATTATTACTGCTATATTGATGAGGATATACAGCATAACCGTTTAAAAAATACAATCAAGAAATTTAAAAAAATAAGTATTAAACAGTCTACTGCTTCCAACTTCAACTTGCATCTAACAATTCAATTAATCTTTCTTCTTCGAAAACAATAATTAGAACAGAAGCGGATCTAAAAAAAAATTTCCGACTCAAAACAAAAGAAAACTATGCAAATCCACATTCGAAGGCATTTCGAAGGCACGGCACGTTCCCTCCTCCTCCCTCTAAAAACTCGTTCTCTTTCCAACCTCGCAATCTATGTAGGCCAGTCGGCCTAACCGCAATCGGAAGCCCGTATGCGTTAAAAAATTAACGATATCACCTTCCTCCTCAAGGTCTTCCTCTCCCACCGTATATCGTTATCAC